AGAGCGGGTGGGCATTGGTTGGAGATAGAGACGGTTGACTAAACCATCTAGTGGATACCAGAATGCCTCAAAGTGTTGCAAAAATCCTATCCATCATGATAGGATTTAACACTTTAAGATAGACAAATATTTTGTGTCAGAAAAAAAAAAATTAAAAATGAATAAGCCTATTTAATTTATGTTTTTATTCTCACCAAACATTTATCCAAAATGGGGTTTGATAAACCCAATAACAATATGTGCATGATCAGCATATACATTTCAACTTGAGGGGATTGTTGAAAAGTTCTTGAGTTTGTGGCCATCACCTCTCTATCTATATCAATCCAGTAATTTACGGACAACTTTTCATCTTCATCATTCCAGCAATCTGTGGATCGTAACTTCCATTTTCAGTAATCCAACAGTATATGGATACCTGCTTTCTATCTACGGGAATTCAAAAGTTTGTGGACATCAGCATTCCGTTTGTTAGTTTATTTTGGATTCCAATTTTTTTTTTTTCATACATATATATTTTCTAATTGTTATTTCTCTTTCTGTTTATGTACAACTTCTTTAGTTTCTTACACTGAACAAGAGAATAAATTTTGTTCATACAATCTTTCACTTCTTACTTTTTCTATTCTCATTCGAATTTTTTAGAAACATAAAACAAAAAGGATTCTCCTTTTGGAGCTCAAGTTCCAACATAAGATTTTGTATGGCGTCAATGATAGAATTAGGGTTAAATTTTGATAATCACTTGAAGGTTTTTCAAAACCGATGAGCTTTGGTGATGCAAACTCTTTAGTTCATTGAAAGCTCACGGAACATGATGAAACCAAAAATATTTAATACCTTAGGATAGGTTGCATCCCACCCACTGAAACTGAGCCAAAATGATAGCCATTGCTGCAATGGAAGTGAGGATGCTTCTAATGCGGAAACTAACAATGAGTGTGATCTTTCAGGGAAACCTGAATTCTCAGAAAAATAAATATTCAGGATATTTAAGTTATGCTTATTTCTGTGACTAGCAATGAATAATAATATGTTTGAATAAGATAAATTTTAAATGGATTCGTTGGTTGCTCAAAATAATCTCCTTTATGATCGTATTTGGTCAGTTGAAAACGATACTTAGACCATTTCAGCAAGACCAGCTTTGACATATCCTGCATTGTGATGGCATTACAAATTTATCTGTGTATGTTATGCCCTCTCTTTGAAAATCTGGGACGAGGATAGCATAATTAATGCAAACTGAACCATTTGATAGTTTTGATTCTGTTGGGCTGTTTCTTCTTTCAATTATTCTTATTACTTTCTTTCAGCCTTCCTTGTTTAAATTTTCTTCCTTTTTTTATCCATTTCATTTTATTTTTTTTCGTTGTCCCTGAAAAACCTATAGGTAATTGACCTAACGGATAAGTTGGACATTCAGAATGTGTTTGTACTTCAACAAATTAAGAGTCTGAACTTTGAGATGAAAAGAATGTTTAAATAATTAGAAAAGTTAGACTAGACATGTAAATAAAGAAGAGAGCACCTAATGTTCTAATAAATATTTTTAGTATCAATTGTAGGAGTAAAACACAGTCTCACATACAATAGGAGTTAAATAGTCTCACATACAAAGCAAAATATTCAACTTGAAGAGATTGTTATCATGCTTTAATCTGATCACTGATGTTCCAAGATTGTTGTCTATTTAAAATTACAGCTAATGTTTGAAAAGGGCTGAAGTTTTCCCAGCTATATTTTTTGGATCAAAGCTTAAGCATAATTTTTGTAAGATCAAGTGAACATTCAGATTTTTGTACAAGTTGATTAGTTTTTACATGCTTATAGTGTTTTGTAAATCATGCTACCTTTTAAGTTTTTTTCCAAATTGTATGAATTTATTTTGCTTGTACATATTGGAAATTTCATGGCGATTTATTTCTATTCATTGGAAAATTGGTCTCCACGACTTATATCTTGATGCAGATTTAAATTCCGACTTGCTGATGCAAGCATACACACACTAGGATCGGGAATACCATGATAATTCTAATTTCCGTAAACACTTAATTATTGTTTGAAATCTGAGGAAGCTGATTTTGATTATGCTATTGTATAACTGAAAACTGCATCTTTTGAAGAACTTTAACTTAACCCAAACATTATATTTACAACTCAGTGTTTAAAGAAAAAATATAATGGACTCTTATTTTCCTTAACTGTGGTATAATTTCTCGGAAGTCCTTGCATCTAAGTTCCTCACACATATATATATATATATATATACCAAAAAAATCAACCCATTGATGTTTAGTTTCATTTGCAATACTTCAAAAGCACAGCCAACTCGAATAATCTAGCATATTCAAATTCGGAATCAATTTACTGGTAATCATATATATATATATATATTGGTGATATATGCTCTAAATTGCACGCAAAAAAAAAATAAAATAAACAGAAATACTCGGTATTAGTTTGTTGTTTCTTTTGTTGTTTCTTTATCATGGTCAATAAAATTTCATTTTACACTGATCATAGATATTCTGAATTGTCATGTTTTGTATCCAGGAGAATCTAATCCATGATGATAACAAAGTCATTTTATTGGCATCCCTTACTGACTCCCTGGAATTTTTAGCAGATTCTGTTGAAAGGTAACAAGGAATTTACCGTTTGTTTTACACATGGTGCTCTTGCGTTTGTTTAGATTGCAGGGTCTTTATTGATTATGTGCATAGTGTATAATTCTCTGGTCTCATTATATTTCCCTCCTTTTTGTTTGATCAATGAATTTAGGCACATTTGTTTGTTCGTTGTATAATCTGATGACATACTTAGAGTTTTCTATCATATTATTTTGTTTTGATATTTTTTGGTATTTCTTAATATTGTGATACTAAATGTTTTTTTGTACCCATATGCATATTTAGTACCTTCATGTTTTCTGTATGTGCTTTAATTAGGTGTACAGGTGCCATATACAAGTTTTCTGTAGTGGTTATTTCCGTTTTGCTTTTCCAATTGTTTGGTTTGAGGGTTGTTTCTGTTTCAAATTTGTTCTTTTTCTTTTTATTTATTTTTTAATTTGTTTGTTGTTGTGGTTGTTATTTGGTATGTGGATTAGTAATGCTTCTTTTGTTTAGGAATGCTTTTTACCATGCTTCCTTCACCTATCCCAGCAAACATACGAGGAAATTTTTGTTCGCATAGATTTGAGCATGATCTATTTCTATGACTATAATAGTAGAAGTACTGTAGGGGCACAGGATATGAAACATAACCTTTTGCAGAGTAAAACTTGTGTCATTTTTATGCGATCCATTTTTATCAAACAATAGTTGTGTGTTAGGTATTTATGTTATGGATGTTTCTTGATTAAATTACTGAGATATTATAGGTCCAGTCAATGAAAGTGAACCCGTTATATGATAGAATACAGCATTGTTAATTATGGTCTGACTAAATGATGCATCTCTTGCAGCTTATTGTCGAAGTGGATTGTAGTCTTTGACTTTATTCTCGGTGATCATCGATTCCCTCCCTGAAGTTTAGCTGGCTGTCAAATACCTTGAGTTGGGCAAAATATCAAACACCTCTCATATATTTGGATATCCTAAGGGAAAACACACCGAAGCAAAAGGGCTCGTACCATGTTTTTAGGCGGATTCATCAAGTTGAGCTCAAAATGGATTTGCCAGCCGGGTCCCATGAGGACTTGCCAAGTGGAGCTTAAGTTGGTCTTGTTAGCTAATTCTTCGGAGGACTCACCAAACTAGATTCAAAACATTGTCTATTATAATCAATGCAGACTCATCACCCGACAATGAGGATACATTTACTAACCTCACAAAAGACTCACTCGAAGATGATATAGAGTTATTAGACTGACATAGCTCAAACAGTCGCTCAAACCTAAAGAGTCACTTGACGACTATCATCAGAAGAGGCAACGACTTCTCCAAATCTGATAGTCAACTACTTGTTTGAGTTTGAGCTTGAGCGGCATATGTCAATATCATTAACTTAAACTTAACTTGCCATAAAGAAAATTACCCACTAATACAAATTGAAGTCTTAGTCGACTTCTTATTCAGGTACACTATGTTGAGCTTCCTAGATACCTTTTCATACTATCATATCAGTAGATACTTAGATTGCTACTTTTATCATTGGAGTTGGATTATACTGTTATAATATAATGCTCTTTGGGATAAAGAACACATGGGTGATTATCAGGGAATGATGAATTTTGTATTCAAGGAGCAAAAATGGAGGAATGTTGTAGTCTATATGGACGACGTGTTTGCAAAGTGTAAAGGCCTCTAACAACTCATACTCGACCTAAAGGAGACTTTCAACACTTTGAAAAATTTCAACATATGACTTGATCCATTTAAGTCCACTTTTGATAATAGATTATGCAAATTCCTACCTGTACATATAGAAAAAAAAGGACCTGACGAAAGTTGAAGTAGTCTAAAGATAGTATCATTGAGAAATATGAAGGATATACTTAATCTAATTGCTAGTATGGCTGGCCTAAGATGAATCATATTGAAATTGGGCTAGAAATGCTTGTTTTTTCAAAATATTGAAAGGTGCCAAGCGAGGCACTTCGGAAGTTAAATTGACTCTTATTGTCAACACCTCTACTTCGTAGCCCATAGTTGAATAAAGAAATATTGTTTTATCTAGAATTTGGAGAAGAAATTATTATTGTTGTTAATTGGACAAAATAGAAAATATTATGGCGGATTTACTATTTTAGCAAAGTGCTTTCGTGAGCCGAATTGCACTATCTCGTTACGAGAAATTTGTCTTCGCTTTGAATGTAGCTATGTGCCGGCTACGACTATATTCTCAAACACACTTTATACAAGTCATCATCAATTATTTCGTGATGTCAGTCCTAACAAAGCTGATCATTCTAATGAATATTCAAATGGTTGGTCAAGCTCAGCGAATTTCACATCTTGTTCACACCTTTGACAGTTATGAAAGCACGTCTCGATTGACTTCATAATTATAAATGCATAAGAAGAAATTATTGACAATAAATTCCTTAGACACTATATATGACAGTGACAAAGGCAACCTAGGAGTTAAAATTTTGAACATTTTTGCAAGTTCTATTGATGAACGCCGCCTGAATTAGTTTCTCACCCACAAATAACCAGATTGGATACGTTTTAATGATTAGCTTAATATTTATTGCAAGAGTTGAAGCCAATTTAGAATAAATATTTTGGGTCTCTATTGATGTTCAATCAACCAAAGGACTTCATGAGGTCGAGGAAGAAATGCTATAAAAAAATATTTTTAAAGTTGAAGAATATATTTGAGAATTCAATTGTTGAGCAAATCTCAAAAGAATAAAACTAGCTCATCAATATATTTTCTAAAAGTGGGAATCCATATGAGAGGCCTGCCATATAGCTTACTCGATCCATAATTAATGAGGAAGAAATCGTGATGCTAATTTCCCAACCGACCTGAGTTGTATTGATCCATTTACGGGGCATCTGAAGTTGCACACCATATCGACTAATAATATTAATGATTCAAGATGATTCAAGGTCAAGGCCATCCTCCAAATGTTAATCAATTGTGACTTGTACAAATAGTCAACAACTTCATCTTATCTAAGATGTATGTACAAAAATAAAGCTTCTTGTATCCTTCAGGAAGTCCATTTAGGTGAATGTGATAGCTATTTTATAGATCGAATACCCGCCAACTGAATATTATGATTAGGTAATGGCCAACTATTCATAAAGATGCAAAGGGCTTTTTCAAGAAAGGTTCTCACAATGTTAGAATTTTACTTTCATGCAACTTCAATCAACACACATGCTAGCCAATTTCGAGTTTATGGCCATTCATCATTTGAGGCATGGACTTATATTTGGCCCATTTTTTCAGCTAAGGGACAAAGAAAATTCATTACAGTCATAATCCATTACTTTACAAAATGGATAGAAGCCAATGTGTGAGTCAAAAATTCAAAACTACTGCAGAGATGGTCTATGATTTCGTATTGATTTATTTCATTTGCCAACATCGGATATCTCATATGATCATGACTAATAGTGCCTTATTATTCTCTGACAAAACTCTCGAGGATTTTTGTTAAAGCCCAAAAATTCGTCTCAGCACATCATCCAAATATAAATGTTTAAGTTGAGGCTGCAAATAACTAAATTATCAATCTACGAAAAAGAAATTCGAAGGCGCAAAAAAAAAGTGGATTTCCTAGCCTCTAACCTATGTGAATAAGGAGGACTCTATTGGCGACTAGGCATAAAACTTTCTTGTTATCGCTTGAAGCCACGGGAATACTCCCAATCATACACAATATACATAGCCAAAGGGTTACAGGCCTCTACAAGCATGAAAAAGGTGAATTTGATGAATGGCGCGAGTCAGGTGAAGGACTTAAAGATTGTGCTTGACCTACTAGATCAAAATTCAATCGATCATGAAATAAAAAGCTAAGAGAAGGACGACCAAATATTATAATTCTAATTTTTGAGAAAGAATTTTTTTGTTGGTGACACTTTTCTAAAGAAAGTCAACATCATTATTTGCTAATCCGTATAGAGTAAACAGATATTAAACTTAGAATGAACTTTATATTATCAAAGAATAAATTTTCTCTCGAGCTAGCCAATTTTGAAGTCGTACATGAAAAGAATTTCTAAGGCATTGAGTAGGAATGAGCTCAAATCCTTATCTCTATAAAATTTATTGTCCATTTCATTATTTTTCATTATACATAATTTTAGTTTAAATAAGAATATGCCCTTATGAATAAACTCCTTCAGAAGATGAGTTCATTAAAACAAACTCATCTCCTAAGGACGAGTTCCAAAAGAAACATGTAAGACTCGCTTTGGCAAAAATAGTCGCGGAACTTGCTTTATGAAGTGAGTTTTAAGTGATTAGTTAATGGACAAGAAAAGTGCATGGACTTGGTCTTAAACAACTACTAGGAGTCGACTGACCTCAAAGTCATGATTGACACTAGAGCTTCCTCCCACTACTCCAATAGTGCTACAAAAATGTTGCAACAATTTTGTGATTCTAGCTATAGTAATGCTTCAACAATGCAGGCGTAAAAAGTCGTGATAGTCGATCCCACGATTTCTCTTGTCTGAACGGAACTAGTCCAGACTCGAAAGGGTCTACTGGCTCTCCCACGACGGTTTGGCACCTTGTTGCCTCATTTCCATTTGGGGCACCAATGCTTTTTTATCTAAAGCTTATTTATGTGATTCATTTGTTTGAGGCTTTTAGTTTTTTGTGTGTTTTGTTTAGGGTAGCCGCTGACGTTCGTTCTCCTCCATTTGAGGGTTGTATCCGAGGGATTGAGTAGTGCTCCGGCTATCTCTCTCTCTTAAGGTGGTGATTAACTTCCCCTATTCCCTTCTGCATTCTCCCACATCATTTCCGTCCGCTCCAACCTTGTTAAAACCGCTCGGAATAGTTCTCTTGTACTTTCTTCTTACAGTTTTCTATCTTAAAGCCGCCGCCAACACTTTCTGCTTTATGTCGCCATACAGGATAGCCAGGAGCGTTGTCCCTATTTTTTTCATGCCTCCACCACCGTGCCTTCCCTTCCAACCCGCTGTTGCCTCCAGAACCTGTGCCCTAC